GGAAAGTATTAACATACCATCTCCGTGTGTTCAATATTCCCATTAACAATAAAAATAAACCTAATGAAAGTATCTGCCTGAAAAGCCCTGAGCACTAATTTTGGAGACAAATAGAAGATGAACCACCAATAAGAATTTCTTTCTGAAATGAATGATGCAAATTAATTGATACCTTAATTAGGCTTGAGCACAAAGATTATTAATTAGATTGAGTTAGAACTAAAAGCATCTTAAAGGAAAAGCTAGGAATGTAGCAATGTGGAGGAGAAAGGATGTTATGTATCAATGGTCTGTTGGAAATATTTTTCGCTCAATGAGAGGTTTCTCAAAGAGGGGACTCAGAAAGACAGTACACTTTATGTATCAGTCCCTGCCTGCCCAGGTCTGGCCAGGTTTGGGGACTAAAGTCTAGTCTTGTCCCTGAGCAAATGGGAACCCACAGGTACAGGGTGTTCTGAACCCAGCCAACTTCTGGCGGCCCTCGTGACCCCACGCAGCCCTCAGATGACACGGGGTCCCCCTATTTTGTTTGCATTTGCAACCCCAGGGCTAGTATAGGGCCTGACTTGGAGCAATCATGATAACCTCTAGCAAAATATTATAGGGTTCTGGGTCCTGTTCTAAGCACCCTTAAGTAAGTAAACCTTTTGTTTACAATGTGGGGGCTTCCCTGGTGGCTCAGGGGTAGAGAATCTGCCTGTCAAAGTGGGAGAGGTGGGTCCCATCCCTGGGTCGGGAAGATCCCCTGGAGAAGGAAACGGCAACCCACTCCAGTATTCTTGTCTAGGAAATCCTATGGACAGAGGAGCATGGCAGGCTACAGTCCATGGGGCCGCAAAAGAGTCAGACACAACTTAGTGGCTAAACAACAGCAACAAACAACAGTGTGAGGTAGGAACATTCAGAACCCCCACTTTATAAGAGAGCAAGTAAAGACAACTGTTGAAGATCATGTGCCTCCCTGCACCGCAGCCCCCACACAAAAATCACAAAGCTAACACTGGTGGATTCAAATTCAAACCACAAGTCTGGCTCCAGATTTCTCACCCTGAAATACTAGGCCATAGCAAATAATGGCCAATCCATATGTGTTGAATGAACAAAGAGTACCCTGAATGCCTAGTCCTTTTTGATAGACTTCTTTCTAGCTCCTAGTTTTTCTTTAAGGACTGAAGCTTTATCCTACTCTGTCCCAGATCCCACCAGTCTCTCACTGGAGGGGCTGCTGATATTTCACGTATTCCTAAGAAGTGGTTTATATCCTATTTCAACCTGGACAGACAGTCCAAAAAGTTGTCTCTACTGAGGGGCTCCCATGGCCGTGGTGCAGCCCACCACCTGATTAGGTCTGAGTCCCACAGGTGGCGCTAGTGGTAAAGAACTCGCCTGCCGATGCAGGAGACATAAGAGACCCAGGTTCGACCCCTGGATCAGGAAGATCCACTGGAGAAGGGCATGGCAACCCGCTCCAGTGTTCTTGCTGGAAGAATTCCATGGACACAGGAGCCTGGCGAGCTACAGTTCCTAGGGTCACAAAGAGTCAGACATGACTGAAGTGACCTGGCACACACTCATGCCCTATTAATGAGGCCAGCCTAGGTGCCACCAGGTTTGCCTCTGTGGTCCTTGTGAATCACAGAGCTGCTGCCTTTCTGTATCTGCAGTAACTTTTTGGCATGCCTTATTGCTGACTCCACTTGCTGCGGAGGGCTATGATAACATGCAGGGTTTACTTTTATGGGGTTCAAGATCCTTATCAGTTATGTTTTATTTACCAATTTATTTATTCCCTCAGGAGGGTCCCTGGAAGCATCCACTTGTAAAACGTAACCAGAAGCAGAGCCCCAGGATGACAAGGGACCCACAGAGATTATGTTTCCCATTATACAGGGAGGGCATGGTGACACGCCTTTGGCCACAGTGGAGTTGATGGAAGAGATGTGGTGTGAACCCTGACCACGTGGGAAGGTGGTTTGGAGTTGAGGCACCAGGATTGAAGACCCACCTCTACCACTCATAGCTGAGAGACTGGAATCATTTCCCCTCTGCAGCCTTTGTTTCCCCATCTGTAAAATGGGGATAATATCTGGTTCACAAAGTGATTGAGAGGATCAGTGAAAAAAAAAAGTAGTGAAAGTGTTAGTCGCTCAGTCATATCTGACTCTTTTGACACCATGGACTGTAGTCCAAGCGGCTCCTCTGTTCATGGGATTTTCCAGGCAAGAATACCAGAGGGGGTTGGCATTTCCTTCTCCAGGGGATCTTCCTGACCCAGGAATTGAACAAACAGGAAGTTCTAAAAGTGCTTTTCACTTGCAAATTGCTGTACAAATGGATGATATTAACAAGGACCCAGGCATTCTGCCACTGAGCTCTGCAGTCTTCCTTCCAGCTGCTAAACCCCTCCTGGATGCCTGTGGAATGTGGATGCCCTGTTCCCTCCACCCTGACCCAAGGGGCACCCAGGAATCTGCATTGTAACAAGCTTGCTAGCTGCTCCGAATGTGCTTTAATGTTGGGGACCGACAGCCGTAGCCGCACACCGACACACAGGAGGTGCTTCTGATCAGCGCCCTCTTCTCCTTTGGCAGAGAGTCACGGTCCGAGACCTACCCCAGGCTGGTTTTCATACCAGCTGTGCAACTGGCGGAACACGGGGGCCGGCGGTCAGGCTGAGTGGACATTACTGGGGAGAGCTGCTGCTTCCTGATGGACCCTTGCATCTGGCAAGTGGGTGACAATGCAGCGGAAACCCAAGTTTCCTCCAGCCCAAGAGAGAGGGCTGAGGGCTGTACCCGGGCAGGTGGCCCTGGTAAGCTCTATGGCTTAGCGGTCCCGCCGGCCAGCTGCCACCTGCCGCCTGTTCTGCTTCTAAGCTGGGCTATGAGGGCTGAAACTGCATTTGCACCACTGTCCTGTCCTGTACTGAGGGAGGGGTGTGGGCAGGAAGAGACTTCAGGCTTGGAAAAGAGGCAACCTCATGACCCCAAGGAGCCCTGTACTCTGAAATGTGGCTCAGTGGGTAACTAACCAATGCAGGAGATGCAGGAGACATGGGTTTGATCCCTGGGTTGGGAAGATACCCTGGAAGAGGACATGGCAACCCACTCCGGTATTCTTGCCTGGAGAATCCCATGGAGAGAGGAGACTGGAGGACTATAGTCCATGGGGTCGCAAAGAGTTAGATACAACTGAACATGCATGCATTATCACATTCCATTACATTCCAGCTTCTGAAATCGGGCCTCAGAGTTGCCCACAGAACTTTCTTACAGGCAGCCGTGTGTGTGTGGGGGGTGGGGGAGGCAGACTGTAAATATGATGACAAGAGTGATGGTCTTTTCTTGAGAGTTTCACCCCCTCGTGGCTGCTGGGGAGTCCTGAGTGCTCACAGAGCCTCCGCTCTAGCTTGTGGCAGGATCAAGTATCTTTCCCTTTCATTCTCTCAGCTCCCCTCCCTCCCCTGATGGGAGCAATCTCCCCTAGCTCTTCCCTTTCACAGGTTTATGGTGTTTCCAAGGCTCTTGGAGAGCAGGGCTTGGCCAAGGGAGGGTGTGGGAGCACTGCTCCTGCCCACCTTCTTCAGCTCTGCTTGGGTTCTGTTCTGGAAGCCACTGTTGCAAGTCTCCCTGGAGGGAGCCACTACCTAGATTGTCACCGGGGCTGCCCCTGAGCATCCTGCGAAGGATCTGTGGTCACTGGGCAGAGGTTGGTTGCCAGGGTAACCCTCCCACCACCTCGCCACTCCAGTGGTTGTGAAAGCCCTGCCTTGACCAGGAGAGTCAATAGCTAGTTCAGACAGATACCCCTTCCTCTGCCCCACAGCTCTAGAAGGAAAACTACGAAGTCCCTATATTTGTGGTAAGTGCTGTGTTTTAGAGAGTGTTCTTAGTACACGCTCTCATTGTAGGATCACTACAACTATACAGAATCGTTAACATGGTTCCCATCTTATGGATAAAGATGAAATGCCGTGAGGATCTCCACGACATGATAGAGATCACTGAGTTGGGAACCAGCCTGGATCCAGACTCAGTCTTTCTAGATCTGGGTTCCCACCATCTTTTGTGGCTGATGCCTTGCACACGTGATGCAAATGCCATCGGCAGGCTTTCCAGCAGAAATACACGGATGTCTGATGATAGCGTGGATTTTCCCCTAGTGCACTGCCATGTGCTTGTGAACAAAAGATTCAACAGTCAAGTGAGATGGGAAAATAGATGCATGTTATATAACGCATACTAGGATATTAAAAGCTCTAAAAAGCCCTTCAGTGAGGAATGGGATTAATGCAGTTTAACCCAGAGTCTCCAAAACTTGCCTAGCAATAGAGCCTTTTTGGTTTTGGTTTTTTCATCTAATGCCTCTTTAACAAGCCACCGGATTTGTGTTCCTCAGACCAACTCTGGAAAGGCGGAGCCAATCACCTTTCTAATTATGGCTGATGACAAAAGGGAAAATAAGGGAAGGTCATTCGTTTCAGTACAAAGAAAAAGAGATGGATCACCAGGCCTCCTCCATGCCCCTTGGCCCATCAGGAGCAGATCCTGCAGGAGTCCCCTGCCATGAGGACCACATAGAATCACCTGGTGCCCCCCGCCTCCACCCAGGCCCCTGGCCGTGGTGTGCTGGAGCCATTGCTACAGTTTCAGAAAATTTGCGATTCAGTTATGAAATCACTGTAACGTGAAACTGGCGACAGTGGGAGTCTTTACAATACAGAAATCAGGAAAACAGTACAAATTGGGGCTCCACCCCTATTTATCCTGAGAACCTGCTTACCTATGTATCACTGATCCTGGGATATTTTCTGAAATTATTGGAAAACGTGCACAAGGCTGTGACAGCTGGGTGCTGGGGGTGACCTGACACAGAAGTCCTGGCTTATCAGGGTCCCTGACCCTCCCGAATGAGAGCTGAGAACCCGAGTGAGAGCTGAGAATGACCATCTTCTGGCCCCAGTGCCCGCTGAGTCTGAAAGTGCCTTCTGGCCTGCTTACCTTGATATCTGACACCAGCCAATGTCTCCAGAATCGAGCTTTGGGAGAAGACCTGCTGGGTGCATCAGGGTCCACCATCACCAGGATGTAGGCTGCATCCTGTAACACATTCACCAGAAACAAGTGTAGTGTCGTGGCTAGAATTCGGATAGGAAATCTATAAGCTGCGGACACTCCTTTTACAATTCCAGCCGACAGAGGCTGACCCATCCCTGGAGCTCCCTACTCAATTCAGCCCTGCTCTTATGACTTTCCTCTTGTGTAACATGCTGATTCTCAGAGAATTGGTCTATTAGGTAAGCAGCTTAATAGTTTGACTTCCCCTTTGTGAAGAAGAATCAGTCAAGCAAGCATATTTACCCGGCACCTGGAAGTCCCTAGCATCATGCCAGGAGCTGGAGAGGAAACAAAGGAAATAGGGCTTCTATTCTCAAGAAGCTCACACAGAGTTGGAGCAACCTGTCCGTTAATTCAGCGAATACAAGAGAGCTTAGTACATCCATGTCAGGAGCTGCACGGATCGCAAGGAACGCTCGGATTCATTCATCCCTTCAACAAACATTTTCTGAACACCTGTTAAAGGCCAGAAGCTGTTCTAGGTACTGGGAGTCGAGCAGAGAACAAGACAGTGTGACCCATACTTTTAGGAAGATTTTACTCTAGGTAAGACACACACACACACACACACACACACACACACACACACACACACACAAACTGCACAACAAAACCAAGGAAATGCCAATGTGGGATTAGTGCTATGCATAAAGTAAAATAGAGAGGGGTTGGAGGGAGTAAGAGCTTCCCTGGTGGCTCAGTGATAAAGAATCCGCCTGCCAAAATAGCAGACACAGGTTTGGTCCCTGGGTTGGGAAGATCCTCTGGAGAAGAAAATGGCAACTCACTCCAGTATTGTTGTCTAGAAATCCCATAGACAGAGGAACCTGGTGGGCTATGGTCCATGGGGTCAGGAAAGGGTCAGACATGACTTAGCAACTAAACAACAACAATGACATACCTGCCCCTCTTCTCACCGGGGGCCCGTGTGCATGTATGCATTGCTTGACCCTGCAGAGCGCTGGGCATGACTGAGCAACTGAGCATGAGCATGGAGGGTAAGCTTTCTAAGAAGGGGAAACAACCGCTCAAAGGCCTTCAGCTGGGAATGAGTGAGGGTTTGAGCAACAGAAAAAGTGCCACGTGGCTAGAGGCAAGCCAGAAGAGTGGACGGGGTCAGAGAGGTGGATGGGGTTCTGGCCACAGAAGGCTTTGCAGAGTTGGGTGAGGCGGGGGTTTTATTCCAAGTGCAATGCAGAACCACTGGAGGGTATTTTTTAGCCAAGACAATAATATGCTCTGGTTTACGCTGTTAAAAGTAGTGGCTGGACGGAGAGTGAATGGTCAGCAGGAAGCTAGACAGGAGGCTACTGCAGTGGTAAATGGCAGGATGATGGCTTATGGACTAGAATGGTAGCAATGGAGACAACAGCCAGTAGGTGGACTGCGGAAGTATTTTTAGGGAGCATCAGTGGGTCTTGCTGGTGGACTGGACAGTAGGGCAGGGAGGAGCGGGTAGGGAAAGAGAAACGGAGGAGGACTCGGGGTTTTGGCTTGGGCACCTGGATGAACAGAGCCATTTAAGGCCATGGAGAAGACTTGCAGAGGAGACTGTTTGAGGGGGATCCTGAGGGTTCTGTTTTGGACATGTTACGTTTGAAATGCCTCTTTAAGTCAAACAAGTATCTAAGTCAGAGTTAGGAGTTTGGAGGGGAGATCAGGATGGATATGTGAATTTTGAAGTCATTGAATCCCAAGGCCTGATGATGGCCCTTAAATTCATGATAGAATAATAAGATGATTCGTGGAGACATTAGACTTGGGGAAGAAAATAGGTCTCATGAGTGAACTCTAGAACATACTAACACCGAGAGGAGAGGAGTCTCTAGCAAAGGAGACTCCAGCCAGGGAGACAAGGAACCACTGAAATGAAGGTATCATAAAAGCTGACACAGAAAATGTGTCGAGGAGGAGTTGATCAGCTGTGTCGAATGCTGCTGAAAGGCAGAGCAAGACAAGGACACAGATGTGGCAATGTGATTTGACAACATGGAGATCTCTGTTATCTTGGCAAGACCAGTGTCAGTGGAGTAGAAAGGACGATGTTTGATTGGAACAGGTGGTGAAGAGATGGGAGGTGAGGAACTGAAGATAGTTATTAAAGATGATAAAAAGAGAAACTAGTGTGAAGGACAGCTGAGATGCAGAGCAGCTGTTACTAGATGGGAAGGAAGAGTCAAGAGATTTATTTCTTTTTAAATTTTTAAAGAGGAGAATGACAGTGAGGCGTGTCTGCAGGCTGATGGAAGTGATCCAGTGGCAAGGAAGGCATAGATGTCAGAGAGAAGAAAGGGGTTTATTGCAAGAGCCAAGACTCTGGGAAGGTGGGAGGGGACAGGATCCAGAGCAAAAGTGGAGGAGCTAGACTTTGATTGGTGGATGATACAGGTTCAGATGTTAGGGCACGAGAGATGTGGTGAGGAATGAGGGCATTGGATTCTGATTACTTTTATTTTCTCAGGGAATCAGAAGCAAGGTCACCAGTGAAGAGGGATTATAGAAAGTTTGGGAACAGAGAAGCTGTGAAGTAGTCATTTGGGGAGGTAAGAAACTGAGTATTCCATAGATATGTAGTAAGGTTGTGTGTGTGTGTGCTGAGTCGTTTCCGTCATGTCTGACTCTTTGTGATCCCATGGACTGACGCCCGCCAGGCTCCTCTGTCCATGGGGATTCTCCAGGCAAGAATACTGGAGTGGGTTGCCATGCCTTCCTCCAGGGGATCCTCCTGACCCATGGATCAAACTCATGTCTCTTTACCTCTCCTGCATTGGCAGGTGGCTTCTTTAAGCCTTCAGTCTACACAAGGTATCTAAAACAGTCAAGCTCATAGAAGCAGAAAGCAGAAAGGTGGTGGCCAGGAGCAGAGGGGAAGGGGAAATGGGGGGCTGCTGTTCAATAGGTGCAAAGTGTGAATTACGTGAGATGAATAAGTGCTAGAGATCCGTTGTACAAGTCTGTGCCTGTGGTTGATGACACTGTATTGTACACTTCAAAATGTGTTCAGAGGGTAGATCTCATGTTCTTACCACACACACACACACACACACACACAAAGATAAAATTTTAAATTAAAACAGAAAGGGAATTCCCTGGAGGTCCAGGGGTTAAGACTTGGCACTTTTCCTGCCAGGGGCTCCAGTTTGATCCCTTGTCAGGGAACTAAGATCCCACAAGCTGTGTAATCCAGCCAAAATAAAATAAAATAGAAAGTAATCCCACTTGAGGAAAGCAGGATGGAATCAACACCCCTATCAAGCGTTGTGCAAATCCCAGACCTGGACAATACGCCCTGCTGGAAAGGCTGTGGGAAAGCTTCCTACATTGCCATGGGAATGCAAAAATGGGGCCAATTTATCCTTTGACTCAGCAACCCCATTTCTGTAATATTTTCCCCAAAAGATAGCTTGCAAATTTATGAAGTGACTTTTGTAGAAGGTATTCATTGCAGCCATGTTTATAATAGCAAAAGTTGGAAATGACGCAGGCATCCATCAGTTGGGGATTGGTTAATAAACACTGATACACACTCACAATGGAATACTTTATAGCTGGGAAAAACAGTGAAGATCTCTCAGATTTGATCTGAAAGACTCTCCAAGATAAATGAGTGAAAAAAGCAAGGTGCAGAACAGTTTAATCTAGCACCTTACTTTTACATAAGAAAGAAAAAATAAACTATTTCTTCACATTGGTTTGTATTTGCATAAACAAACTCTGGAAAGATAAAAAAAAAAAGATGTGGGTGGTGGTGGGATATGGGTGGATGGAACACAGGTAGGATGGAAATCTCTCTTATGTGCCTATTCTTTCATTTCGATTTTTGAGCCATGTGAATGTATTACCTGCTAAAAATAAACTGAAAGGATAAAATCAAATGAAATGTATAGTAATCACATAGTATTATCTTAGAGATGTTAATTCTCATCTCCCTCTATCTGGCTGAGAGGTAGAAAGGTATGGCTTTGTCTTTACAGTAGGGAGAGCTCAGGGAATCCTCACTGTATATATGGAGGTCAGTTAGGTGCAGGGCAGACCAGCATCCTGGGCTCTGAAAAGAGACACCAGGAGCCCTGTCAACAGATCACATGCTTTGGTGTGATGATGACAACATAGAAGCAGCATTAGATCTGTGCTTGTCCAAGTGAGGTTTTTACACGGCTATATTGAAGCATAATTTTCCTAACATAAACTTCACTCCTTTAAAGTATACATTTCAACAATTTTTAGTAAATTAATAGAGTGGTGCAATCATCACTAAATTTAGAACATTTACATCACCCCCCCCCCCCCCAAACAATTCCGGTGCCATTTGCAATCACTACCTGTTTCTGCCTCTATCTTCAGCCAACCTCCAATCCATTTCCTGTCCCTATAATCTCCTTTTTGCCTTTCTTGGACATTTTGGATAAGTGGAATCAGAATATGTGATCTTTTGTGCCTGGCTTTTTTCACTCAGTATAACATTTTTGCATGTAGCATATATCAACAGGTTATCCCTTTTAATTGCCAAACAGTATTCCATTGAGTGTGTATTGGTATGTATTTCGTTTAACCACTTTGCGGACATTTGGGTTGTTTCTACTTTGGGACTATTATGAATCAAGCTGATATGAACATTTGCTGCAGGTCTTTGTGTGGTATTTGTTTTCAGCTCTCTTGGGAAAATACCTACAATGGAATCGCTAGGACATATGGTAAATTTATGTTTAATATTAAAATAAAACCTGCCAAACTGTTTTCCGAAGTGGTCTCACCATTTTGCAATTCTACCAGGAGTGTATAAAGGTTTTAATTTCTCCACATCTTCACCAACACTTGTTATCACCCGTCTGTCTGATTGTAGCCATTCTAGCAAGTGTAAAGTAGCATGGCATTGTGTTTTTTGTTCCCTAATGACAGTGTGTTAGTTGTGCAGTCATGCCCAACTTTGAAACTCCATAGACTATAGCCTGCCAAGTTCCTCTGTCCATGGAATCCTCCAG